AGTGTCATTCCTTAAGCTTCTGGGTCTTAAACTCAAGTGGAAAAGAAAAAAGCAAGAATTCCTGCTTAAATGCTGTAGCAAAACTAATCTGTAGATGTATCAAAAAACCCGAAGTATTAGAGGAGTGCAAACAGGCAGCTTGTCTTAGAGTGGACTTCTCTGTTTTGGTTGAAATGATGCAAGGAATGGGAAAAGCCATCTGCTTTAGCTTCATGTAATACTCTTCAGCTCTGTACTTAATTTTATACCGTGCTTTGTAATAAGTTTGTAAGGTTGGCCAAGGTTAAGTTCTAATTGCATCAGCAATTGCTTTATTCACAGCTCAGAAACATATGCCTATATATTTGTCAGTAAATCTCGGCTTGCTGAGTCCTTCTTTCTGAGGATAGAAACATTAATTGACATCAGAAAAAGTGATTGTGTGCTTTCACTGAAATGGGGAAGAAAACAGTTGACTATTTTAAAACTACCTTTTAAGTTTAGCCATTACGATTTTAAAAACAAAATCACATTAAAAAGTACCGTTAGACTTTTTTGGAGGGCAGCGGGGAGGGAGAAAAAAGAATCTTATAACTTACAGGGCACAGCAGTGATATCCCTAGAAATCCTAAAAATGTAGTGCTGTGGGCTGTGGTGTTATAAGTCCCTTGAGATTGTCCTGCCAATCAACTAAAACCCTGTGGTGAACTGCCTGTTCCCCCAAGTGAGAGTAGTTCAGGCTCTGTACCCTCTGATTCTGTCATTTTTCTGTGACAGCAAACAAAAAAAAAAAATCTAAACATCTCAGTGACTTTTGGAGCCAAAAAAATGCTTATTACTTACTTTCTAAACAGTTTAAGTTTCCTTTAAAGCAGGAGAGGTCCAGCGGGTGAAGCGCATGGAGAGTACGGAGGGTGGCTTCTGCGGCATGCTATCTTCCCAGCACTGCACTGGCCCCTCCACAGGAGCAGGTTCTTTAGCACCTGGACTCTGATTCTGTCAGTCGCCATACGGGGAATTACACTGCTGTGTTTTCCTGCTGCAGTTTTTAAGTTTTTGTGGAGAAGAAGTGTAAAGCAACTTGAATGGGACTAAAGAGACAGCTCAATGAATCTGACCCTCACAGGCGGCTTGCCTCACATGCCTTGCAAACTTCCTCTCCTTCATTCAAATAAGTCAATTCAGAAGCATCCGTGTACTGCCCTGCCGTAAAAGTGGCTTTCCACAAGGACTTACCATGCAAAAATCCATGCATAACAGAGAGTATTCAAAATACTGAGCAAAAAGTGGTGTATGGATATTCATGCAAAAATAAAAAGAGACTGCGCTTGATGTGTGACTGGACTGCAATAAGCACATGAACACTTAAAGAACTAAACTGGCCTCCCTGGCCTCAGGAGAGGTTGGGATCCTGTTTCAAAGATTTTCCCTAATCCCGTTCAAAAGGAAACAAGGTTGGGAGTGCCTCAGGAGGATAGCTAAGCAACTATCCTGCTCGAACGAGAGGCTGCGAGTCTCATAGTTCAGATAAAAGACATATAGATAGGGACCAGCATAGGGAAAAGGAGTTTTTAACATTTTAGCAGTCCTGGTTATCTGGAATGAGGCTCAGGCCTTTTCCCAGTGCTGTCATGCCACCTTTTTTACTACCTTGTTTACTCTGTCTTGTTTGGACTTAAAAAGGCTTTTCAGTCCTGTTAACCATTTAACTGCTGTATCTCTAAGACGTCAGAAAACAATGACGACTTAAACTCCTCTTTAATTTCTTCCAAATACTGTTTATGACTTACGAGAGTTAGTTTTAGGCTAAAAAGATTGAATTGAACAACTAGTGTTTAGCATTTGTCAATCTGATTATGTAACCTGCATGCATGAAAAGGATAACTTCCCTGAAATACCATATACGAAGGTCTATACAATTATAATAGAGTTGTTATAAATAGAAAAACAGATAGATGTTAACATTTGAAAGAATTATCTTAGAAAAGCCACAAGCGGAAGAGAACTGAGGTAAGATTCCCCAGGCACAAGTAATTCTGACATTACTTGTGTTGGGAGGTTGACTTTACAACCTAATCATTTTTTTAACAGCTATTACGAGCATATAGAGGAAACTGCGTAATAATATGCAGGTCTAGAACGTGGTTTATAAAAGGTTAAAAGCTATTTGGATTATTTAACTGTGCATATTATTTAAGTCCCCATAGTTCAGAGACTCCAGTCATAGCTAGCTCTTCGTTATTTCCGGTCATGGGGAGGACTCTGGGATTATTAGAACAGCTGGATAACATGGGCACTAACAGAGACGTAAGCAGTTCTTTAGAGAGACATGTGGCGAGTCCCTGCATGTGTGCTGTCTTCAACGCAACACCTTGGGAAGACAGACCTGGCGAGAGGCATGTTGCCCAACACTAAAAATTCCCGTCTGGGGTTGAAACAGGATGGCAAAATAACATACTGGCAATTGGAAGTGACAAGTCCCCAATTTCCAGCAGTGCCCTTCTCTGACTTGTGGCTCTTGAGATGCCAGCTCTAGATAAGGAAGAAAACTAAGGCTGGTTGAGGCTGCCAGAGACTGTACAGTGAGCCACGCAGTGTCCTGACAGGTCCCAGCAGAGGTGATCATTAGGCAAAGTAAGGGAGATGCATAGCGAGTGTGATTTGTTGCACATCTTCGCAATTCACAGTATCCTTTTACAACTTTGGGCAGGTTTACAGGTAACGTCATGAGAATGCAGTGGTGTCAGATGGTTTCAGCATTTATAAGGTACTACAGCCCATGAAATACACAACGCCTGGTGAAAACAGCTTTTTGAACAGAGTCTTGAGTTAATGAGAGAACAGTAGATTTTCTGAAGTATCAGTGCGTTCATTTAGGAAACAGATGTGACACTTACTATACCCACCTCCCAACCCAGCCATTTGTTATCACTCTTCTGCCAAAGGTTACTTGAAAAAGAACGATGAGAGCACTCCTTACTCATAAACAGCAGCTGGTGAGGCTGTAATATCCTGAAGCCCCTGCAGCTGTTTGCTAAGTGGATGCATGTCTGAGGTCTTAGACATCAGCGTCTTTCAGGTACTTCTGAGTATCTTACCCAGACTCCATATGTAACCTTTATTATTCGTTCCTATTCTTCTGTCTCTACAGCATATAGCGATTTGGGGTATTACATTATTAATAAGCTGCACCATGTGGATGAATCAGTGGGAAGTAAAACACGGAGGGCCTTCCTTTATCTTGCTGCCTTCCCTTTTATGGATGCCATGGTGAGTGCCTGATTCAGAACTGAATTTTAATATGAATGGGTTTTGGGGTTGGGTTTTTTTTGTGACTTTGGACCTGGTGGGAAACTGGAGGTGTGCAGAAGGAAGGTGTGTCCTTTGCAAGCAATAGCTCTGGATATATCTGGACATATCATCTCTTGCTGCCTGATTAAAGCATCTGGGTGGACTTTGAACATCCAGAGATCATGACAAATGTAAAAAACCTCAGCTGCCTTGTTATAGAGTATGTGCATGCTGGAAAGCACTGGTCATCTTGAGATGAGCTGCACCATTTGTCTGTGTCGTCTCATTCCAGTTTGTAGTGAAAGAGCTGGATTTGCCTTGCATTCCCAGATCACCTGCAGAGCTCAGAAGGAATGAGCTCAGTATTTTCTCAAAGCAAATTAGTAGAAGATATTTCTTACCAATTTTTGCAAGCACAGCTAAGTCCAGTATATCTCAAATGCTTGAGTGAGAGAGCCATGCGTGTGGTTGGGTGGCTGCTTCCCAGATCACCAGGCTTACTGCTTGTGGCCTGCACAACATAAAAATATGGCAGCTCTCTTTAATGCCTCCACTTCTGTGTAAAACTGGTAACCTTCTCATGGCATGCCTCCACTGCTTTCTCTACCACTTCGTCTGCTTGAAACAGTAGCTGACAGTAAAAAGAAGTTGGACCATTCAGTTTTCTATTCCAGGTGGACTCAGTATAACTCAGTGGGCCAATGATTATTACACTTCAGAGATGCATCCAACTGGTGAATGAGAAGAAACACTTTTCCCCTCAGATTATTTAGTATGATAATCTATCCTGTGCAGCATCTGTTTTATGAAGAAGGGGCAGTTTCTTATTAGATCTGCTCAGAAATTTCTATACACTCTGTTAAATTATTCCAATTCTCCCTGTCATCCCTGGCAATGAAGAACTGAATGCAGCAGTGCTTTCTCTGCATTGCTGGCTTAACGTTTGCCCAGGTTCACAGAAGGTACTGCTGCTGGAAAAGAGCTCTATAAGTCGTTTGTGTACAACATAACGACCAGCAAACAGTATTCTGGGACTTGAAGTCTTTCACAAATATCATAACCACTTCACAAACTCTTCTCTGCCTTTTTTCAGGCGTGGACCCATGCTGGGATTCTGCTGAAACACAAGTACAGTTTCCTAGTGGGATGTGCCTCCATCTCAGATGTCATAGCTCAGGTAATGACTCCTCGTGGCAGTCACTGTTTTCTTTGTGTTATGGACTAGATGCTTTCCTAAGCAGGGACTGCTTTGTACAGAGACCGTCTTCTCTCTCTACTGTGAAAAGCACACCAGAGGAAGTAATCTTGTGTGCTGTTCTCTGGTTGTTTCCCCATCGCGTGCAGACTGTTTGCTGACAGTTGTGGTTTCTTGACTGGTCTCACTTGACTGGATCAAGTCAGTCCCAAAGCAATGTCAGGAGAAGGGAACCAGGATTGTTTGGGCTAGGGCCATGTCTTCCAGCACCTCCACAACCCTGTTTCAGAATGGCTGAGAAACAAGCTATATATGCATGCGTACATCTGGGAAAAAGAAAGGTCAGGCAAAGAGACCGATGGCTGCTACCAATTCTGAGGCTGATGGATTGCTTTCAAAGAGACCCTTCTGCCCCATGTGCGTTCACCCCCACGATTCGCACAGTTGCAGTGAAATCCTGAGTGGGGCTTGTAGGTGAGGAAGTGAAAGCTTGATTCTCCAGTGCACCTGTCAGTTTTGCACGTGCTGTCTGATCCAGTGAAATGCAGCAGTGTAAGCCATCTTCTGAGTGCCAGCGTGGCACTGTTCTTGTTCCTGGTCCAAAAGGTGAAGGCTTAGAGCTGCAGCAGAAGGGATCTGTGGTGATAGCCCCTGCGTGATGCAGAGAAGACCAAATGTTGTTTGAAATTTCATTTGTGAGGGAGGTGTTAAATATCCCATTGCTTTGTACTCGGCACATGTAAAAAACAACATTCATCCTCGTTGCTGATGGCCAGTGTTTTATCATTTGAGAACCAATGTACAGCCCTCTTTTTAAAGGACGTATAAAAATATTATGAAATGGAGAGTCCCAGCACCTGAACAGTTGCTGTACTGCTCCATTACCAGCTGAATGGTGTAATGACTGGGTAAGAAAGGGGATAATAACAGTACAATATCAAAGAAAATATAAAGTCAACAGCACTTAGTTCAATTTTCCATAGCATTTTCCTCCCACTAAATATGAGCAAACCATAAACCAAGTTGAACCATTCAGTCAGCTGCTATTCTGTGTTTGGCAGGTCTGCCCCTCTACAGTACTGCACTAAATCCCTGAAGACAATACCAATTACTGTAAATGACCTTAACTCTCTGGATCTGCTCTTGTTCTGATGTGACCTACAAAGTTTGCTGACCCTAGATGCATGTCGGGTGATATACAGCTAAATACAGATGCAAATTCTTATTTTGGCGATGGTACACGTGCCCTTTCCACAGTGGTTGGTGAGTGGGGTGCCAGGGTTGTGAAGAATAAGACACCTGTCGTCTTCTCTCCACAAAATATTGAACAGAATGAGAGCAAATCCAGTAGACAAAAAGTGGTGATTCTCCACACCCCGGAATTCCCTATACATACATTTGCTCCTTACGCAAGCAGTAGGTGCACAGGCAGTAACTAATTCTCCTTGGGTAGCTTCATATACACAATTTTTGTGACTGACTTTGTGTCTGTTTACTTAAAAACAATTCTTTCATAGGGTTCAAAAGAGCAGTTTTGTAAACCTTCATAAACAACATGGCCTGCCTAACAAACATTTGCACGGTGTGATTTTTCTTAAGGATTTCTTGAGCTCTAGCAGTGAAGGAGAGAACGTGCCCCTGAAGAATGTGTGTTGTATTTCTTATAGCTCACTTGAATGCCAGAATGACCCAGCAGGGTTGTTCTTGATTCTGCTGTTGACAGAATGAAACACAGTTTCCTTCCCAGTTGTGCCCCCCATCCAGAGCCATTTGGAATTTAACAGGCACTGTACTCTGTACTTAACAGAAGAGAATAATATCACATTAATCAATTCCTTTGCATTTTCTGGTTTGTGCATTTAATCTTATGAGACTGAATTATGAGCTGTTCATTAGCCCAAAAATTTCCATTTCAGTTACATCAATGTGGCACTCAGCTGAAGAGAAAATGATGAAATACTGAAATTTCACTCAAAAAAGTAGAAAATTAGGATGACACAAGACTTCCTGCTTCTAAATGCTAAAAAGCGAATACTTCAAAACATCTGTGGTTTTAATTGCCACTGCCCCATCGCCCCCACCTCCCCAAAAAGAAGTAGAGTTTAGAAGCTGACCCTAGAAGCATGTCTCCAGCCTCAGCGTATATCAGAATAGCACATTCTCCTGGGCAGGGTGACACTCAGCCACATGCTTGTTGCCAGACCTTGCCAGACTTTCATGCTAACCTTCTCCTATTTATGGCTCCTAGTCTGACACCTGCCCATACCTTCAAGTACTGTTTAACAGAGCTTCTGTATGATGTTAACTCTTGTTCTTCTCATTTGTATGACCGAATGCAGGAGGGCTCCTGACTAAAGTTCCTAAATGCCACAAGCTCCAAGCCAGAAACGGTAGTCACACGTGGTTGTGGGTTCAGATGGAGTAGCTTGGGGTCAGGCAGGAGATATGTTGGCCCTGAAGAATAGACAGACAAATTCCTAATCATTAATTTGTTTGCCCCACAGGTTGTTTTTGTAGCCATTTTGCTTCACAGTCACTTGGAGTGCAGGGAGCCTCTCCTGATCCCAATCTTGTCCTTATACATGGGAGCACTTGTTCGATGTACCACGTTATGCCTCGGCTACTACAGGAACATACATGATGTCATTCCTGACAGAAGTGGGCCTGAAATGGGAGTACGTCTTAATACTTTGCACTTTTTTGAATTCGATAATTTTAAACTTCCTTCTTGTGATATAATACTGTATTAAACCAGTGTGTATGAAGGGCCTCCTCTCTCCCATGGGGAAAAAAAAAAGTCACTTAGAGAGACAGGGTAGAAATTATTCCAGCAACAGTGCACGTGGGGCAATGTTCAGGTGGTATTGATGTGCACATTCTCCTGGGCAGGGTGACCACCTCTGTACTGAGCTCTCTCCTTCTAGTGCTGTAAGACAGCACAGGGTGAACAAAGTGGACACCTTATTTCACAGGGAAGAAGGTCTCAAAATTCCTTTTTTTCCTGAAATGTCATATTTGTGTTCACATATCTTTGTCCGGTAGCCAGAACAAATTATGCAGATAGATACCTTTATGCATTATTTATGGAGAGGCATGACACAGCTTCTTTGGAATCAGTATTGCTAACATGGGTGAAAACATTTTAGGCTCCAGCTATTGAAAACGAATGAAATTAATATGCCAAACTGACTGTGGGTGGGAAAAGCAAAAATCTTTTCTCTGTGCTTTTGGTTCAGTTTTGTGTGTTTCTTTCCAAAGCTACTTCTTTTTTTTTTTATTATTTTTTCCTATGTGTTGCAGGGAGAGGCTACAATAAGGAAGATGCTGAGTTTCTGGTGGCCTTTGGCATTAATTTTGGCAACTCAGCGAATAAGTAGGCCCATTGTCAACCTTTTTGTCTCCCGGGACCTAGGTGGCAGTTCTTCAGCCACAGAGGTAAGAAAGTCAGGGCTTCCCATTACTGCAAATGACCATTTGCATAGAGTTGCCTTTGTGTTTTTCTTCTCAGCCATGCTGGCAAGAAAAAAATTGTCCTAAGTACATTACTGTTGAGTGCTCTCTTTATCCTTGAAAAGAAGACTGCTTGGACTCTTACCATGAGTGTTTCTGCCAGGCTTAGTGGGACCTCACCCTCAACAAGGCCAGTAGAATTTTTTTCGCTGAACAGTTCCTGCGTCCCAGGTTTTCATTCTCTACATGTAGGTACATGCTCTGGAGCATTGAGATCCCAGAGATTTTAGGAAAGTCGTCCATAGTCCCCTGTTCCACTGTTGCATGGCATATATATTTATGGGCAGGCAAACCAGTGTGAAACAATCCTACTGTTAGCAGTAAGTGCATCACAAAGGATAGGGTAGATGCGTAAGGAAGCACATTAAAAAAATCTGTCTCCTGGTTGGGATATGAAATGCACCCTGTTTCTCTTGAGGAATTTCAGGTTACTCTGATAGTCTTCAACAGCTGATGGGAGCCAGACTTCTGATTGTAATGCAGAGACTTCACTAAAGTTTACCATGAGCTGACCTACTCTTAAGAGGTGTTGAGGGATCTTTGCTGCCAGTTCTGGTGGGATAATATCTATATCCGCATAGTCATTAGCACATTTGTCATGTTTTTTCTCTAGGAAAAACAAAGCTGTAGGATACTAAATGGAAAGGAAAATTCAAACAGCTGATACCTAACAAACATTCTCTCAGCACTGCTCATTTGTCATATGCAATCCTGTGTATTTCACTTGGTCAGGAGTTGCCAGGGACTCCAAATAAACAGCTGTGGAGAAAGAATTTAGGAAACGTTAATGCTTCTACATGTGAAAATCAGGGATCGGGCTATGCATTAGTAGCAGTCTCAGTACAAGGGAAGCCAGAGCAGGTTAGCAGGGATCAGTTTTGCATTTCTTGGTGACTTTTGATTTTAGATGCATCACATTTCATGGCTAGCCTATTGCATTTCGTTGCTATTAGGATTACTGCAAACACGTCGTAGCTGGTGGGTTGCTGGCCTTTTTACACAAACAGTAATGGTCACATTTTGACTTTCTCTGATTTCTGAAATAATTGCCTCTGAAAAGGGAGGTGCCGGCAACACAGATGATAGATAACATCAGTGCCTGGAGCATCAGTATACACAGAAGTTTTATAGGTCAGCAACTTTCAATGATGTGGTCAGGATGTCCCTGTGATACTGTCTTAAAATTCCAATTTGTTTTCTTTGAACCAATTACTTTTGCAAGGTACATTAAACATTATTAAAGCTATTATTAGCAGAGAACAATCTATCCCATTCTCTTCCTTTCTGTGGATATCACTACTTTCCCCTCTCTTTTTAAATAGCACAGGAAACAAAGTAGCTTGCTGCATGGTCCTGTGTTTGTATAGATCTTTTAACCAAGCAAGGACAGTAACTACATTTATAATGGGGAAAATGAACTCAGATAACCAAGAGAATATACAGTGAAAGTTCAGGAGTGAAACACAGACAGCAGTAGTTAAAGCAGGTCTTTCTTAACACTACCATTGCCAGATGTAAAATTAATCTGAATTTAGGTAATCATAACACATCTGAACCTGCAAACAAAAGGCAGTCACTTTGATTTCTGGAATTAAGAGAGGTGGCCAGTTCTCAGTACAGATGCACACTTCAGATCTGATGACTAGAAAACTTGGGGTGACAGTAGATTTCCAAGCAGCTGCAGGAAGAGCTCTTGAAACACCCTTCCTACATGAGACATGAAGTACGTGTATTTGGACTTTTCTTCAGAAATCAGAAACATCAGTAAAATCTTTCATCCATTATTATGTACGAGGGGTTATATCTTTGATGTACCTCTTGGACTGTACTTGTGAAAGTGCAAAAGGGCCTGGCTTTAAATTGCAGGCAGTGAATTGTTTCTCATGATAAAAATGGTCATTTGGTATTATTTTTGTCTGGTTTTCGTTGATGAGCACCAAAGTGGGGAGAGCTTTTTTTCTGTCTCATAAGTGCCTCGTGCCCTATAACAGTCAGTTTGATATCCAAAGTCAGTCAGCCACTGAGCCCTACTGTTTTGTAGTCTCTTACTTAAAACTGTTTTACTGATGAATAACCAAGTAAAATGTATATAAATTAAAATTATGAAATATGATTCAAAGCTATCGTGAGCTGTAAGGCATTCTGCTACTCATGTGTCTGTAGGTAAAATAACTCAGGAACAATGTGGGAGGGAGGTATTCAGCTGTCTGAGAGGCACACACCAGCTCAGGTTAACTATTATCCCAAAATATCAGAGTGATGGTGAAACAAAAAAGCTGAGTAACATAGCTTCACGGCACGGAAGATTTCCTAAGTTTAAAATACCGGGCCAAATGATGTCCGCTCTGATGGTCTTCCTGAAACAAAGAGCTTCCAGTCGCCTGCCTGGTTTCTCACCGCATCAAGGTCAATGTGGTGATATTGGTGGGGAATGTCACCTTATGTTAGTTTAACTGTTCTGTTTGAAGAATTGAAGTTCATTTTTCCCTATCTCTTTTCATAGGCGGTGGCGATTCTGACAGCTACGTATCCTGTGGGACACATGCCGTATGGCTGGCTGACAGAGATCAGAGCAGTATACCCTGCTTTTGACAAGGTGAGTGCCCATGTTAGGGATGTAGTAAATACCTTTCGAGTGATTTCACATCCATGGACCTCCTCTTTCTCTCTTTTAACAATAGTTTAGTTTAGGGTTGCCTTCAGTGATGTCAGAGGAATTTCTGCCAAACAACTATGAAGAAAGTTAGTTCATGACTCCATAATCAAGTGTAACGGATTCTTTAAAAAATAAACCAACCAAAAATTAAATAGGGCTGTATTAATGGCCATCTACTCTTTTGCTTCTCTTTACTTTTGCTTTTGATGCCTATTGTTCCTTGTCCCACTGATAAGATTTTCTTAAAGCCCATGTTAAAATGAATTGGGTTTTGATGGCTTCAAGCTGTTCTCTGATTTATTATTTTAACCTTAGCTCTGTGTTACAAGGTATTAAGCTACCTTTTTAATAGATAGGTGCTGTATATTTATGAAATAAAAATATCCTCACATACTCACTATGATGTAGCTAATTAGCTAATGAAATGATTTCTCACAGTGTCCATCAGTGAATGAGCAAGCTCACGTCTCTGCTCCAGATTCTGCTGTCTCTCAAGTGGGTTTGGGTTCGTTTGCTTATTTTAATATTTAGCAAAGGTTGTTTCATAGACTGACAGTAACATAGGTAAGGTACATTATTTTAGTAGTACTGACTTAGCTGACCAAGACTATGAAGATTGTTGTTGGCAAATCTTGTAATTACTTAAGAATGCAAGCACTGCTCCTGGAACTGAGCACGGAGTAAATATATAAGCAAAGTAATTTTGTTTAGACTCTTTTTTTGCTCTGTTTTAGAACTGGTACTCACTAGCCCATATGTTGTGCGAAGAACAGTCGTGTCCTGTGACACTAATTCAAATGCCAGATCCTTTCCTTCCCTTTATTTACCAATTAGTAACTGAACTTTCTGGTTCCAAATACTGATGAAAAAAATCTTTGCTTGCTCAGGGATGTACTTAGCTGAAGCAAGCCCTGTTTGATACGATCCACCATATTTCCAAGGAGAATTTAAAAATAAAGCGAAGCAAAGTCAAATTAGTCATAACTTCCCAACCTACCTGTGTACAGCTAAATTGACCTGTCAAATAAAACGCAATATGCAGGCTTCCTCAGACGTCATGCTGCTGAAAAGGAACTGCAGATGCAAAACCAATAAACTGGAAGATCAAAATGGTTTGGGACAGGAAACACAGGGGCTGATAACCTCATCTGTTACAAGCTACAATCAAATGCACTATTGCCAAGCAAAATTAACAGCAATTAAGACTCCTAAATTCAGGTCTCATTTAGCTGGTGGAAGATGTGGTGACAACTTTAGTGGTGACAGGATTAGACCATGATTTGTCTGTTTGTTTATTTCAGTTTAAAGGCTTCTCATAGAGCTCTTGTGGAACAAATGTGAGGAAGATAAAGCTAGGGTAAGGCACCGATAGGTATAGTTTATCGAATTGCCAAAAAAAGTGTATAATAGGGATTTTAGTTGCAAGTTTTAAGAGCAATTTTGCATAAAATGTGCTAAGTGAGGTAGCAGCAGTATAAAGGGTATCTCATCCTGGCAACTATGTGTGCAAATGCCTCCACCGTACCTTTCAGACAATAAATACCAAACCCAAAACCCACAGTGGGTTTCTTCAGATCACTGTGAAAATTGCTTTACCCTCAGTTACCTGTCATTCACATGTCACCGTGCCTTCCAAAAGCTTCGTTTCCCTAAGCTAAGGCTTTGTCAGAAGAGTCCAGATAGAAGCACTTTTTATTTCTGGACGCTGTAAAGCCTCTGTTGTGATTTTCAGATGCTGAAACAGTTTGCATGCATGCAAACTCCCGTTTTCTTTTGTCAGTTACTCAGAAAGTTGGCAACGCTGATGGCCAGCAGAAGCACACTGCATTGCTTTAACTGACTGGTGGGGTTTGGGATCCAGAAAGTATGCTCCTCTTCACTGGCTGGACTGGAGAATTCCACAGGGAAATCATTACTTCTGTTCACATTTGTTAGAGAGATGCAGAGCCCTGGTTAAGTCTTCTATGAGGCTCCATGTCCAGAGGAACCCTATGCCCTTGCAGTTACGCTCTGGTTAAGGGTTACTGCTGATTTGCTGAAAGAAAACAGGCATATCCTAGTTCTGTGTCCTGTTTGCTGTTTTATACAGTGATAATACCATTGCTCTTAATGGACTGTGCCTGCCATCTGATTCAGAGCAACACCACCAACTGTGAGAGGACTTGTAAATGCTGTTTAACTGATTAATAGATGGGAGTGGATACCCTTTTTGCTCTATAATCTGCATAGTATTTTGATTCAAGAACTAAACTGTGTGCAAGAGAGGAATAAAGAGTATGTGGTCAAGAGTTAGAGTGAACGGCAGAGTACTGAAAGGGCAAAGTTAGCAGCAGCGAGGTAGGAACAAACAAGAGCCCTTTTTCTTCACAGGCCTTATGGATGACTGGATTTGGGTGTGCTTTCTTTCCTTCTCTGTTATTTTAGCCTTGTTAGAAAGTTGAGCCATGCAGCAGAGTTAATTTAAAGACTGGTGAATGATGTAAGCAAGACCTGTCCTCACATATATCAAAACTAACAGTAACTAAGTATTTCTTCAGAAACACTAGAAATAAGAAAAGACTTGTGGAAAAAATGTTTGCAGAGAGTTTTCCTAAACTGTTCCCAAAAAGGGCAGGCGTGGGAGTAGCTTCCTGCGATCAGGTCTGGGTTGCATACATGCATCCTCATGCACCCAAGGAGATACTGAAGCAGGAGTATGAGGCTGTGCAGGTGCCATCATGCACTGATCACCACGAAAGCTTTAAATTGCAAAATTCCATCAACTACTTGAATGTGTGTGAAGTGGTCTACCCTTCACAGAGCTCATGTTCGGTTTGTCCACTCCCAAGATGTGTTTGCGTAAGTTCCTATTTCTCTTGCGAGTAACTTCAACGTCCTTTAGGAGGCTGACCATATGACAGTTACTGCTGTTCTGCCTGAGTTACATCAAGGATGAATAAATGTTGCGATACGTCTCACAGTACAGTTTTTATCAGCATGGGCACATACCTGTATTTCTTAAACAGCCCCAGGGTAAGTGCAGTAGATGACCCAACAGCCTGTTGGTACAGGGCTCCAAATGGTGCCCTGCTTTTGATATCCCATCCTCACCTTTCACAGACCATTTAGTTTGTTTTTATGTGTTCCCCAAGGGCAATTTTAAATCTTCAGCTTCATTTGCTATATTAGGCATTTGGAAGAGGGTTTATGTTGTTTTAAATAAGACTTTGCTACCATGTGAGTACAGAGCCCATGTTCAAGGTAGAACATCTAATAGTCCTAATTATGTTCTCTTCATTAAACTGCATTAACGGAGCCAGCTGTTCCAGGAGCTTTGTTTATATTACTTACTTGTCTAATTGGATCAGTAAGGGTGCTTGCATTGGTGTATGGATTTGGTACCACTCTGTGGTAAAAAGGAATAAAATCCTGTTTTTCCTGTGAAAACATGCTACAAACTTCAAACTAAGGTAAAAAAATATCATGTAGAGTTTCCTTAGAAAGAGCTACCATCCTTTTTCAAAGCTGAATTTGTTAAATAGGACTTACTCCTTGGAAAAGCAGGGAGATTACTCAGACCTCAGTGACCATAGGAGCAGTTGCTGTCAGTTTAAGCGGAAAGTATTCTGTGATGTTACAAAGTACTCAGAAAGCTCTAGGTTAAAAAGCAAACAAGCAAAGACAGACTTGCACGCGCACAGACAGTCAGGTCCACCACATGACCCTGGTGCCGTCAGCCTCCCAGTAGTCTGGAGCCAAGCTAATGCTCGTTATCTCTTTCTCTCACCCTAGAATAACCCCAGCAATAAATTGGTGAACACCAACAGCACCGTCACAGCGACACATATCAAGAAGTTCACTTTTGTTTGCATGGCATTATCCTTAACGGTAAGAAACCTTTATTCAACTCTGGCTTTCATCTCAACCAGAGAATTATCTCCTCTACCTAATAATGCTAAAAGCACTAGCAGTTCAAGAAAGGTGAGTTGTCTTTTCTTATGAAGCTCTGTTGCTTTTATCTGGAGGAGGGAGCGTGATCGTAGTGCTGGAGTACTAAGAAAATCAGCTATCATTTATTCAAGCTAGATATCTTAAGGGCTAGAGTTACTTTATTTAATTCTCACTACCTTTCATTTCAAGTCAGCCTCCACATGCAAGGAGATATCAGAGATCTGCTTTTCGTTTTTTCTCTTTTTTTTTAATGAACAAAACTTCTGGTAACCAGCATGTCAGGAAAATGAAAAACCACATTTGTCTCATGTGCAGTCGGATGGCAGCCTGTTCCTGGGCATCCTTCATCTGCTGTGAGCGTTGGGAAAAGCAGCATGTGTTGAAAGTGCAGTAGCTGTTCCTTGCCGCCTTGCATGGCACTGGTCTTCCATGCTGGGGGTACTTTCATGCATGTTGGTTTTGTTTACTCTCGAACTAAAAAGGGCCATTTTGGAGATGGGGCTGACACTGGATCTAAAGCCTTGTCTGTGCTGGGAAACATTGCAAGGGGCTGACATTCAGGGAGAAATTTTCATAGAATCGTGGAGTGGTTTGGGTTGGAAGGGACCTTAAAGATCATTGAGTTCCAACCCCTCTGCCATAGCAGGGACACCTCCCACTAGACCAGGTTGCTCAAAGCCCCATCCAACCTGGCCTTAAACACTTTCAGGGATGGGGCCTCCACAGCTTCCCTGGGCAACTTGTTCCAGTGCCTCACCACCATCATAGTGAAAATTTTTTTCCTAATATCTATTCTAAATCTGCCGTTTTCCAGTTTGAAGCCATTCCCCCTCGTCCTGTCACTACATGCCCTTGTAAAATGTCCCTCCCCATCTTTCCTGTAGGCGCCCTTCATATACTGGAAAGCTGCTGTAAGGTCTCCCTGGAGCCTTCTCTTCTCCAGGCTGAACAACTGGAAATTGTTGTCAGCCTGTCCTCGTAGGAGAGGTGCTCCAGCCCTCTGATCATCTTTGTGGCCCTCCTCTGGACCTACTCCAACAGGCCCATGTCCTTCTTATGTTGAGGGGTCCATAGATGGATGCAATATTCCAGGAGGGGTCTCAGGAAAGCAGAGTAGAGGGGTAGAATCACCTCCCTTGACCTGCTGGCCATGCTTCTTTGGATGCAGCCCATGATGAGGTGGGCCTTCTGGGCTGCAAGTGCATGTTGCCAGCTTCTCATCAACCAACACCCCCAAGTGCTTCTCCTCAGGGCTGCTCCCGATCCATTCTCCATCCAGCCTGTATTTGTGCTTGGGATTGCCCTGACCCAGGTGCAGGACCTTACACTTGGCCTTCTTGAACTTCATGAGGTTTGCACAGGCTGAATCTGCAGCATTTCAAAACAACCAGCTTGTGCACATACATACAGTGGATCTTCCCCAAGAAAACTGTTTGTGCACAAATTTTCATAGCACAGGCAGTTGTGGAAGAAAACTCATGCAGGTGGTGGGGATCATAGCAAATAATGGAGCAGGTCACTGGGTTGAATCCAGCTTCCGTTTCTACATAGGATGGATTTACATTTGTGCTGGACCTGGTCGCACCACCCTCTTCCCACTTGGGGTGGACTTGCATTAGCAACCATACCTCTGTCCATGACAGTCATTAGCAGATTTGTGATCCATGCACGGTGTCCTGAGGAGTCCTGGGCTGGCTCCTGCCAGGGCACTGCCAGGCGCCAGGACCGCCAGGGTCAGTCATGGCAGGGCCTAGCAGCAAGGGCCTGTCCCTCCCCAAGCCAAGAGCAGGGCAGCTGTGGGGCACCAGGACAGCCCCAGGACAGGGCACCTCCCTGGGGATGGGCAGAGGCCAGGTTGGGACATGGTTCCATGGGTGGGTCTGGCTTGGTGGGGCCCATAGCTGGGCATGGCAGGGTGTGGGGAGCTGGGGACCAGCCCTGCTGCTGCATCGCTGGGGCAGGGGCTGGTGGCCTTAGGGGTCTGAAATGGGGTCCTGGGCCGTGGGCAGGTGGGGGGAACCCCGGGGTGTGGGCAGGAACGGTCAGGGCTGGCGGTGCCCTCGGGGCCATGACAGCTTCTCTCCTCAGTACCTGTGCTAGTGGGACAAAAGCCAAGGAGAACCTAGAAAGTAAGTTTCTCACAGAAGAAGTCCTTCTTCACACTAGAAAAGTAGGTAGGAAATGTTGCAATTGTTTTAGGATACAATGCTCAGAGTCCCAAAATTGAATCTGTTCATACTCCAGACAGGTTTTCTCTTTATCCCCAGTGTTGCATATGTTCGTTGGGCTGGTTGGCTGCTTTATAACTCTTCTCTCACCACGTTCACGAATTTACTGTTGAGTAATGGAGGGCTGACATAATTTGTCTCTCCCCTTCATTTTAGTATAGAGCCTTTCTGACTGAGTTGCGTGTAGCCTATGCATGAAGAGACACTAACTTATATCAAAGGAAACCTTACAGTACAGAAGCTTGAAGTATTTGTAACCATGCCCACCTCCTTGTCACAGCCTGGAAAAGTGGGATACAGTATTCTGTCTTATTTCACAATTGAAAATGAAGCAACTCAATCCATTCATAGCTGAATTATGAGATTTCTTCTGCTCTTTATTTCCTATACTTTTTCCCTAACCAGCTACAACTGACTACCATCAAAGACGGAATTGCATGAGTCGATGTGGCATCTTTTCTGTCTATTAATTTCTAGTCTTAAGCTTGAACTCTTTTCATATGGCTTAGAGACCAACAGCTCTGGCTCTAATTTGTATTTCCAATAGCATGTAACGGAGACAGACATATGCCTCCACCAAATTGGCCATTGTCTGGAGGCGTTCCACAGCTTTCATGTTATCTACCATCACACACCTTAAGGTTTTCTCTTGTGTGCTGTGCCAGGCCAAGGTTATGTTCTCTACAGCTGGAGCCTCCCTTGAAGTCTGTCCATATTGCTAGAGACCCACAAAGGGGCAAGCTTTCATCTTTATAAATTGTTCTGAGAATACTATTTCATTCCCAAAGCTTTCTCTGAACTGACTGTTTTCTTAACCCTTCTGGGCATTTATCGGCTTACTTGAGTTCTGATAGATTATGAGCTTCTCACATTACCATCACCATCCTCTGCAGAGTAATTTTTAATTACTGCAATAGGCTTTTCTTTTGTAACTTCACAGGGTTTTTTTCCCAAAAGGTTCTCCATAGTATGTTCAAGGGCAGTTCTTTCATAAGCTCATCATGAGAGATTTGTCCACACTGAAATTCCAGAAGTGCTTTTAAGGTCCATAGCTTTTCCTGTCTTGTTTCTGTTTTTGCCTACTAGTGACAGATTCTTAGGATTGCTTGTCAACGGACAGAGCAGAAAAATAGACACATGAGCTTTAAAGACTCAGTTTGGTTTGAGGCTTGAACCTGCAAATGCTGCAGCACACAAGCTCAGTAGACATTGGTATGACTCAAGTTATTATGTGCCACAGGTTCTAAGGAACTCGACTTCAAATTTGCCTCTGTTGCAGCCAGATCAGATGGCCACTGTAACAGAACTCCTGTGGCCATCAGTGGTTGCCGTGTTTTTCTGGAGAGGATCTACTGCAACGAATGGCAGTTAGACTAGTGGCATGGCTGTAGGTAACATCCTGTTCTTTGGGATCAGAGGGAAAGTGGGAAACAGACTCCCAGGCTGACCAAGAGATCAAAACAAGTTAAATTGTTAGATATGTCGTGTGAATCCATTCTTCAGTGGATGATCTATAGAAGGATTCCAGAAGATGGAAAGATAAAGAAAGCACATTAACCACCTGAAAAAATAACAATGAAACATTTAGTATGAGCAGTAACCATGCAGGAAAGTACCCTCCCAGTATTAAACCCTGGGAAACCTCCCAGTCTTTGAAGACATGCTATTTCATAGAGTTGGAAGAAAAATGTCCTACCTCATTCCACAGACTAGTTATGCCTGCACAAGAAGTATTGTAAACCGACTGCTTACAGCAGAAGCACTTTTTCACCTTTATTGACAGAGGCAGTATTGGGTCAGAGTAGAAAAAAAAGGCATAGTTCTATTAAGAAACATAATTTTGTGGGTTTTTTAAATCTTCATGGGATCTGAAGGGCTACACTTGAGCTTTCCCAGGCTGACTGTGTTCTACAGAGTGTGATCATAAGTACTGTCTCATGGCTTTGAAGCATCAGGCGAGTATTAAAGCTGCTTCTTAAAAAATGGCAATTAGTTGTATTGCTTAGTGAAAAACGTGTAGACAAGCTGTTTTATTTAAAGGCTCTAAATAGAAACCATTAGACTCCCAATATGTAAGAGATCTGGTGTGATTAGTCATGTTGATGTGGTCTTGGTTGTAAGCAGTAACTCCTTCCAACAGCCCTGTTTGGTGGCTATGTAGCTGAATGTAAAATTTGTATAGCAGAGGGAAGGGACTCAGCTGAAGAATTTTGCCCATACAATTAAGGGACTGGTTCTGATTTTAGAAAATAAGGTATGCTTTGTAATTTACTCTCAGCTTAAAGAGTGTGCATAATGCTGCTTGCCATTATTTGTTACTTCATTGCCCTTGGGCACTTCAGGCAAAAATGCTTCTTTCTGTATATGAGTAGAGATATGGCTCCAAATGCCAGTCTTGCTGCCATTGCTAGATAATGCTGTTGAAGAACTAAACATTTTGCTAGACCTGTTCAGATGACCCTACAAGTCAGCCCTGCAGTCTTTGCACAGTTGTAAACTAAGTGAAGACAGAGACTCCCGAGAAAGAAAACTGGTGCATTTATAGCACACATCCCTTTGGTTGTGGGATGTGTCAGCCTCTGTACAGTGCAGAAATCCCAAAATAATTTGTGCAGTTCCAAAATAGTGCATTTCTCCATTGCAGCAAAGGTTTGCTCTGTCAGGGGAGAGCATTCCCTCGCTCGTGAGCTGTGCATAGAGGGGCAGGCC